TACACGAAGCGATAAAAAATTCTACAGCCGTGTTAAAGTTCCTATCGCCGGGCTTTACACTTTATCGCCTGGCTGTTGCTTTTTCGCCATCGGCTATAAAAGGCTATGAGAAATTGTGTAGGAATTCGTGTACTTTGTAAATCCTTAAGATTGTACGGAATCACCTTAATATTTACAAAATGCACATTACATTTTCCTTTTACTACATATTTTTTTTCATCAATTAAAATGAGAATAATCCATTCAGATTGTGCAAACATTTCAAAGTCATGAGTTGAAAAACGCTGACTCCACGAGATTAAATATTAGAGCCTAACACAAAGCGGAGCGGCGGCGCACTGGCGCCTACAAACCTAACAGGGATACTTCACACATTGCGCAATGCGTGAAGTATCCCTGTTAGGTTTGTAGGCGCCAATGCGCGTTTCGCGCTGTCTGCCCGCCCACCGCGCCGCGCCGCAGCGTACCACGGCGCTGGAAGCAACTATTACACACCAGAGGTATTGCACAGTATCATACGAAATTGATGGCGCTGCAACATAATAGGAGCATGGCAGGCATCCTTCAAAAGTATGGAGCTTTCCTCGCAAAATAAATCAAGATACTACAGCCCAAAAAGAGAGCGGTAGTCCAAAAGCTCATTAAGTCCTAGCATCCGTAATTAGTAATGTTTAGCATACACTTTATCGCCAGGCTGGTGCTTAGTCGCCATCGGCTATAAAAAGCTATAAGAAATTGCCGGCTATAAAAGCTATTGGAAATCTTACAACCGGCTGTAGGTCTATGGTATTTTGGAACACAGATTCTACTGCCAATTTTTACCAGGAGAGCGTACATTTTGAGCTCCAAACTTGGTTTTAAGACGCATTTCCCCAAAAATCACGCTTTCAGAATCGCAAATTGAAAGCTATTGTGACTCTATATTGATTGACATTTTGGGTGTTTTTGTAACAACATCTTTGTAAAACAATCCACTGAACAGCGATGAAAATCATTTAATCAGGTATTGTGCGAAAAGAAATTACGTAAAAATTAATAACACCAAACGGAGCACAGTATAAGACACAAAAAGTCTATGTATATATAGATCCTTTCGATTTAATATTTTTGTGAGTAGTTCTTTTAAGTAAAAAGATCTGCAATTTTGAGTTTACGATACTAAAGTCCTTTTCCTTGCGTAAAGGTCACATCATCGATTCTTAGTCGACGGAATGGCAGCAAGAAATATGTAAAACTTCCAATGGAAAATGTCCGCTATTTTCCGTGTAGAACTAAAAACTAGCAATTAAGTAATGTTGAAATGCAGTTACGTTCTTTTGTCTAGGAACGACGACATGAATGAAAGAGTTGCGACCACGGTGCGAAATCGGTGTCGCGTATGCAGAAGGTCCATGTTGTCGTTATGATGCAAAAGCCCCCTTTTCCCAAATATTTTTTTTCGGATTACCAAAAGATTTTAAAAAAGCGGCAACGCTGCCGACGGGAGATTCGCAGTGGGTGGGAAATTTAAGCCGTTCGAATGCTGCTTAGCGCGCCTCATTTTCGAGCCTAAGAATTTCATTCATCCAGACCATTCTGAACCACTTTAAGGTCGGTATCATTTACGACTCCATCGTTGCCATTTCAAATCAAAATTTGCGGGATATATCTTATCACTTTTGCACAATCCTTAACACGGTATAGCTTTCATTTTCAAAACATACTCGACTCATAAATTTATATCGCTTGCTCATTAATAATTTTTACCAGCACTAACACTCACCAAGATCTAGCCACGTGCCGGGGTGATAAAATACCGGTCAGTCAAGATGAAAAAAGGAAAACTTTACTCTTAAACACGTGGAGAGACGCGTTTGACCCACTTCAACACCCTTCATCTCCGCTCTTCCTCTCGCCCTCCCTTCCCCCTCCGTTCTTCCTCTCAGTAGAAGTACTGTGTGAAAGTAATTGGGCATTCAGATTTGGACATTTGGATTGAAAAGGAATTGAATGACTTGCTTCGAAAACTGCCTAACTCTATTGCGACGTTTTTTTTTTTTTTTTTTTTTTTTTTTTTTTTTCATTCCATTTTAATTTTTGCATAGGATATCAGACGGTTGTTTGAAATTTTCCACTATTTCATTCATCTCATATTCCATTCTGAAAGTATTTGCAAATCGGTTAAAGAGGATCCTCATTGTTTGCTTCTTATAAAAAAATATATATAATATAATGTATAAAATATAAGAAAATTGAAATATTACAATAGAGTTGGAGGGTAAATTTTTTTGATCTATTTGAGCACTAACAAAAACTACCCACTAACATAGGGAAATTTAAACATTTTGTTACGGATCTACGCAAACTGTGTTTCGCGTTTAGGTGTGGATTTTAGACAATTTTGAAGTACTCAACGTGATTTTTGTGCGATTTTCTCTGGACGAAATGCTTTTAGTGTGCGGTAACTTTCGTAAGCAACAGATCCATTTTGACCGATAATTTTTTGAACGACGTAAACGACTCAATAATCCTTGCTATCGTCAATTATTGAGGGGCTTGGAGGACAAGCATAATGCAGTTTTTGAAAAAAATAAGATATTAACGACTTCAAGCAAAACTTTTTTTTAAAAAAAAATTTCTGTTTTTTTAGTCCTGCAAAATTTTTGCTCCCAAATTTCAATTTTCAAACATGAAAAAGTCATTTTGAACTTACTGTCCACCATATGGATCCATGCAAATTCGAAACTTCATTCACGTTTTTCTCGAGATAGCAAAAACTGTACTTATGCCTCTTGTCCTCCAAGCCTCTGAATTAGAATTCCACCAGGAACTTGATTTTGTATCTAGCTTCCCAGGCAGCAAGAGCAGAGAGAAAGTTGTATGAGCTTAGGAATATAAGCATGAGCAAGTTCACCATTCCTACACGATGATCGACATCTGCTGGGGTTTCAAAGGAAGCTGGGGAACTACGAAACCGTGACGATCGGTCCACTCGTCTCAGGTGACACTTGCTTATATAGAATTTCAAACTTTAAACGGGGAGGTCATCTTGAGCCTGGATATGCGGTCGTTCTCGAGAAAAGGCACCAAATATTCTACCACGGATCATTTTTGAAGAGAGCGAATTTTGTTGAGTCGTATTCGGTCAAAAATTGGGTTATGGGGATTGGAAACTCTCTCTAGTACAGCACAGAGTGGGTTGCACGCTGTTTAATTTACGATTTTGTGGGATCCCCTTGGTTCACTTTGTAGAAATGATTATCATAAGAAGAAAATTTAGCAATATTAGAAAATTTATCGATATTATATTATTAAAAAAAGACAAATTTTGCACTGATGCCGAGGCCTATCCTTTATTAGGTTCGGCTCAGGTGACCCTTCCATACGTCCTAGTACAGTACTTTCAACTTGTGTCAATTCTGGTGCATCGCCGGTGAATGAAGGCATTATCAATTTTTTTGAGCTATACTTTCTACGTCGTCGTTTGAATTTTGCGACAAAGTAAACCTCTGTCACTATTTTCTCTGCCAAGGAGCACTGCTCATGCTATATTTGAATGTGATGGGAAATCTTCGTCAATACCGGCGCCGGGGGTTGGAAGTGTGTTGAGACAACATTAAAACGAGATCGCTTAGCAGAGTGGGAACTACGAATATAAGCTAATTTTATTTCGGTGTTCGCGACTACTTCTGCATCCGAATCTTGCAGTTACCAGTTGCCACTTTATTTGAGTTCGGAACTTCCGATCCGGCAAAATCGCAACGTTGTTGCGTGAGTTTGGCAGCGCCTCGCGAGGTGGTCATATGAATGGTTCGATCCATCAAATACCAACAGGGCTGATTGGTCGAATCTGTTGGAAAAGGTGCTCATCACTGTTGATGATTGATGAGACAGAACCGAACATAATGCCGCAATCACACGCTGAATAAGGGAGCTGAATGTAAATCGCTAATAAAATCGCCAGGATCATCAACATATTTTGAGCGACTCTGTCCTCGATCTTATCGCGATAAAATCGCACTTTTATCGTCCGACAATTTATCGCGATATTTTCGAAATAAAAATTGCGATTTAATCGCCAATTATCGCAATTTTTAATGCGATAATATCTCGATATATTGCCACCGATATAATCGCGTTAACCAACCGATAAAATCGCTGTTTATCACGATCACTGCTACTTGGGGAATGTGGAAGTCATCGGCTCGATGCCTGAATTTTGACGCACAAGATTCAGCAACGATTCTCAGCGACCATCGAATAATGTCGGATTTGTCTGAACTATGCGAAAAGATTGGTACACATTTGCATGAAAATAACTCGAATTAGTGAAAATTCAGCTGTGGAGCGCTGACTGTTGACTGCCACATTCAGCTGCCAAATTCAGCGTGTGATTGCGGCATTACTTTTCAACCCAAGTAGCACAGAGCAATAAAAGTATCGAAACGAAATTTCCAGATGTATATATATGTATTGTTTGTTTGTTTTTGTTTTTATCATGCGACTGCATTATTTTTACATAATTTGGTCGATAGATACCAATTTCAAAGATCAACAAAACGAGTTTCATATGTTAGAAAAATAGACGATTTGCGATGCAAGTAATTATTGCAACTCATTTTAATTTTATTGCAGTAAATGTCAATATGAAGTGCTCCTTCAATGAGTAGATAATGACATAAATAATACTCCGATGCAGTAGCAATGATTGTAGCATGTAATTGCACTTGAAATCAGAAAACGTAGCGGGCGCCCCGCCCTGCCAAATCGTGGACAGAGGGAATAAGGCAGGAAATGAGGAGATGCGATCTGCCGGAGGAGTTCTGGCAGGATCGCTATCAGTGACGGTTGGGTGTCGCAGAGCGCTCAGAAGCGCTATAAGAGCGACTTATTAGTAGAAGTAATTGCACTTGTTTGTAATCAGTGGTACCTACTTCGGAAGGAGGGTTTGAATAAAACTGGCTTTTTAAAATTGAGAGAGTTTAAGTGACTCATTGCACTTGTGTTGCGTTTGATTACAGAGGGCCGAGGGCGGCACGACATCGCCTTCCTGCCGATCATGTACGCGATGGGCGTCATCATGACGATGCTGGGCGTCATCACGTTCCTGACGATCAAGAGCATCACGATCGGCGTGATTCTCCTCGTCGTGGCCTACACGTACACCCTCGGGAAGCTGAAGCACCACAAGAAGTTCCTGTACCACTACCCGGAGCACTACCACCACCACCACCCGCACCCCCCGCACCACCACAAGGCCTACGCCATCGACGTCCTCCAGCACGACATCCTCCACGACTACGAACACGAGTTCCCGCTCAGCCCGCACGCCCACGAGACCGCCTACCACGTCGACGCCGCCTCCGCCTCCGCCTACGAGCCCCAGGTGGCCGCCTCCAGTCCGGCCCAGGACACCCGCAAGGCCTACTCGCAGGCCGGCTGGGCCTACGTCCTCGTCGACAAGGTACCCCAGAAGATGAGTCAGTTCACCCAGAAGCGCGGGGTCGTCGCCAAGAAGAAGCGGAAAGTCAGCCACATTGAAAAGAAGCTAAGTAGTCTTGGCTAGTCCTAACTTATCATTCCAACATGCTCCTCATAGCAGTGGCAGTTCCAGCAGGTTCCCAACACTTGTAATACTCCATTTAAATTCATTAAATATATCGATTCTGGGTGAGACAATTGAGACATGCTGCCTCACCTAGAATCGATTGTTTAGCATAGGTTTAAATTAAGAAAACACAGTGTTGCCAACTTGCAAGAATCGCCACTGCCTCATAGCGAAGAGAGCCGTAAGTGCTAAATTAAGTTTCAAGAAAATGGGCTCAGTGGCTTCTAAGCGGATTTTATTGAGAGAGGAATTTGTCTCTCGGCCAATTTGTCACTAATCATCCGAAAAACTCCCCGAAATCGTTAAGATGATAAAAAATCCCCAAATTCATTTAAACTACATGAAAAGGGTATTTTTCATTTTCATGATAGGCTAGTGTTAGGTAAGTCAGCCGTAAGTGCACCTCCTCCATGCTTTTGTGGTTGCGTTTTGGACACACAATTCACAAATTTTCAGGTTACGTATAGCCCAAAAAGATCGTCATTTTCCCTACTACTCTCATCGGCTCTCTGGTATAATATTGCTCCTAACGATTGTTTTGTCCGAAACAACGCCAATTTTCGCGCACTCACGGCTTCCTCATTTATCTCGTTTTTGCACGGATGAGATGAATTGAGCTGTTTTAGCTGTCTCAGTGATTTAATCTAAAAGAGATTAGACGAATTTCGAAGGAAACTCGATTTAGAAAATTTGAGAATTACGGCTCTCTTCGCTATGACGGCAGAAGACTTGGTTCCCTACTGCGATGAGTCGGTCGTTGGTCGAGCTGTGATATAGGAGGGACTTTAATGGGAGAGTATAAACACCGTGGAGCCCAGTCCGATTGGCTCAATAATATTGGGGCCGATTTCGTGATCCTTCTTCTTTTCCTCAGGGAGGTCCCATAGGGTCGTATCCAACCAATATTAATGAGATCTTAAACAATGCAATTTTTATGGCTTAACGAGGCCTTGACTTTTTAGGGATGACCATGAATATTACCCACGAGGTTACAGCGTGAGCAAGTGAGGCTTAATGACAATTTTAACGCAGCTTCATAAAAATGACAATTTTTAAGAAAATCGAGTAGAACTTGGCCGCATTTCTGCCGAATGGAACCATAGCGACAGTTGGAAAAGAAGGGGTGTGCTCGTTAGTTGAGAGCCGTGAAAATGAATGGGAATTATTGAGCACCAGTGACGTCAGCGTCGACGACTGGGACTGCGGACGACGCGACGTTCGGGGATCTTAAACTCATGAGCCCTGTCCATAACGCTCTTGTCACATGCCCATGGCGCATGAGTGCCGCATTTAGTTGGCACATAGTCCCGTTGGACAGAATGTAAAATCTCGCTTTTCCATTTTTCCAAAGGGAATCACGCCCACTTTAACATTGTTTCTTATCCAGCTATCTAGAGCACACTCCATCTTTCCCACTCGTCTCTAGTTTCGTTTGGCCGAAATACGTCCATTTATCCGTTTGTTTTCGGAGATAGAGCACCACAAGGAATTGCACTGATTTGTCACGGAAAAAATATAAAATTTGGAAAAAACATATCAAAAGTTAACAAATGTTTAGGTACCTACCTTATAGTTTGCCATGATCAATGAATTTTTTCTTTTACACACAGGTGCTTGGCTCAAGCATGATAATTCTTGAATTCGCCGCCAAGAATTTGTTTTACCTTGATTTCAGCTGGATTTTTCTCCATACGAGCAAAATAATTCTTGGGTTAAGCGAAAAAGTAGTTTCTGTTAAGCAGCAAAATTCTTGATTTAAGAAAAAATACTTTTTGGCAGCAAGTTTAAGATTCTTTTTTTTTTTCAATGCACGTTATGTTTTTTGCAGCGACAAATCATTGTAATCCCTTGTAGGGATCTATTTCCAAAGTCAAATTGATGAATTTTACTCGGCTTTCAAAATGAATGTCCTTTTTATGATGCCATGTTCAAAGCTTCCCTAAACCTCCATAATCACAATGTAAACCGTCTACTTGCTCTGGTTACGCTGAAGGATTCGGAGGGTGGCACCCAACGCGGCGTTATAGAGCTTTGCAGAGGGTATTTTGGTGGTAGAGAACCGACAGTGTGATGTTATGCAACTTATGGGCGGTCCTCAACCAACCGCCCATTCCGTGCAACGGGAGACTTGAACGCAGAATAAGAAAAAACAACCAAAATGAAGCTCGCATAATGTAAAAATGAGTCAACTTATAAGGCTCATCAATAAGAGCATCTATGATTCTGTTTGCCAGACCAAAGAACGTTACTGCATATTTCATCAATGCGGTGTCCCCATTCATGTATTGTATTTTTACTGGAAAAATGTCCAGTGCTGGGCTTCCTTCGGAGAAGGAAATATTTAAGGAACTGTTGCGATTAGAATTTACCCGATGCCATGTTGCATCAAGAGAGTTCGTGTTATGCGACCTCACGCACACACTTTCCGCACCTTGACCGCCAAAAGATCACTCCTTCCCGCCTCTTTTTCCTATTGCGGCCGCCGTTTGTTTATGTTGAAGGGTCTTCTCGGGCATACCAGCGTCCATCCTCTCTCATTGCTGGTACTCTCAAGAAGCTTTGAAAATTTAAAAGCTCTTGGAAAGCTAAATGACGTTGAAATGCCAGAAAAATCATCACAGAAAAGGGTCTTGTTACACGATCATCATAATTGTATAAACTTTATTTGATTTTTTCGTAATTTGATTGTGTACTGAGAGCCAATTCAGTTATCTTTACAATACTTTTGACCACCCTCCAGAATCAAAGTTTTCAGTCGTACTTGCGATGCTATATTCATGAAGAGAGCAATTATGGTTCACTCAATAATAAATTTCCAATCTTTACGGTGAATTGTATTCTTTTTTAAAATAGAAATTCTTTTCAACGATAAAAGGCACCTGGAAATTATTTCAATTAGATGTTGTTATCATATATATCTCGTAAATATCTAACGTTGAAGATTTAACATACGAGTATAATAACAAATCTGAACGTCATTTCTAAAAATGTTCTGATGGTTTTTTAATGTTCTTACGAGTTAAATTATTAATGAAATAGCCAGAAAGTATTCAGTTTAATATCACTTCATTCCTTGACAAATATTTACAATTATGATACAGGTATAAGAAATATTGCAAGCTTTTGTCAAAAACTTGTAATAGAAAACCTTAGAAATTCAAAGCAGATATTTGGATTCAAATAATATCATCAGAAAATTATTTATCCGTAGAAATTTCTCCAATTAAATTTATTTTGAACGTCTTACTTCGAGCTCATTTACTTCGGTTGCGAGTGATCAAGGGCATTATAAAGGTTACTTGTAATTTTCCTATTGATGATCACTACAATTCATAGCTTTTTCTATGGCTCCAGACCTAACTCACCTTCTCTCTTTCTTTGTAAGTGACCCAAAAGAAAGTCATAGGCGGTTAGACGAAGATTAATTTTGACCTCTTTAAGCAACATTTTTTGTTAAAGACTATTCTAAAAGTAAATACGTTTCCTTTGTTTAGCTCTGTCCTTTTGAAATTCTCAAAGTCAGAATATCGAAATACGTTCCATGGGTAAATCGTTCTGTCTTTCTTTTGGACACTGTACCTATATTTGTAAATATTATTATACTATTTGTGAGTACAGCTCAAACTTCATATCAAGAATAATTTATTATAAGGATCATTTTAGATTTTTGAGAGAGCATGACACATGCACTCAAATTAATTGACTCGGAACGAGTGAAATCTCATCGATTTTTGTCCAATCTGTGTTCATTCAACTAAGTTCCACACGAGTTACAGATTCATCTTATTTGGAATCTATAAAATTTAAATATCTAGTCTCAAATAATTCCGAGATCGATTACGGAGAGGCTATTTGATAGGTTATAATCGAAAGACTGACCTTAAGCCAAGTTCATCTCAGCCTTTTGATTAAAATTACTTGAAATAGTTGATTTGATCCATAAGCTAAAAATTTGAATATACGATTCAATCATAGATCTTTAGCTTAAAAGAATCCTAAGTGTTTTGGGATTTAAAAGAATACCTCTTGCAAGCCCCGATTACTGTTCCCTTTTTAAGAGCGTATAATGTTTTTCTTTAGAAAAATCACACACTATATCATTCGTTAAAAAGAGACCCCATGGGATTCTATGAGGAGCATTGAAAAAATGGATATTTTTTCAAAGAAAACAGCAAGGCAAAATCATATGCATATTTTGCAAGAAATTTGATTGTGCGCGAGAAGAAAATGAAATCAATGGGTAATACTACTGGCGGGCTGATTATTGAAATTGATAGACAAAGCGATAGACAAAAAGGACACATGGAGTATGAAGCTATCCTATTGGTTGAAATGTGCGGTCCCTGTAGACGGAGGGAGAAAATGATGGACTAACTATCGGGTTTCTCGTGGGTTGCCGTTAGTTAGTCTATTACCTACTGCCTTTGTCCATTGCAACCACCCGCTTGCACCAATAGGATCCATCCATGTCCCTTTTGTCTTCTTTGTCTATCGCTTTGTCTATCAATTTCAATAATCGGCCCGCTGGACTTTCCAGTTATACCTACCCATGCTCTTCAGCGGGCTGATTATTGAAATTGACGGACAAAGCTGCAGACAAAGCGGAAAAAGAGGAAATGAAGCGATCCTACTGGTGCGGAAGCAAGTGGTTGTGATGGACAAAGCTGGTAAGTAGTAGACTTATGGAAAGGCAACATGACAGACAGACCCCACAGTTAGTCCATCATTTTCTCCTCGCGATCTACAACAACCACTAACTTGTTTCAACAGATAGGATCTCCCCATTTTCCATTTGTCTTTTTTGTCCATTGCTTTGCTTTTCAATTTCAATGATCAGTCCACGGAAGACTTAAAAGCAAGCTCTGAATTTTCTGGGAAGCATCCATTGCCATGCCCAGTATCGTTCTTTTTATCCACGTAAAGATGCTCTGCGAATGTTATCAGACCCTCATTTTCTGTTTCACTGGAAGATGTTCTTTCCTTTGATTAGTTTACAATCAGCTGATTTCTAATTTTTCAAAATACGCAAAATTTAATTTTATTTCACGCCAATGATATGTGTAGGACGATTTTTAGAGGATTTAGCATATGAGTCTCCAAAGAAACGGCCCCAAAGAATACGTACGAGTACTAATTATTAAGAATTAAGACCTCAGTTCCTCTTTATTTTTTAACTCGTGTCATATAGAATTAAGTCCTAGAGTTTTGTGTTTTAAGTCTTAAGGACCAGCTAGCTGCAAAGTCGCTGATAATGTATTTATTAATTTATTTATTTAATTATTTATTGTTTCTTTCTCTTCCTTTCATTTTGTGTTTTTCGCGTCAAGATTATATATTGAATAAAAAGTCGATATCTGAATCCGCTGAAGATCAATTTCTCACTCCTCCCAAAAAATAAAACATATTCGAGCAAGCCGTATACAGTGCCTAAAAACTTCCAAGGTGGTTCGATCTTATGTGAGATCATGAGTTAATTACACTTCTATTCAGATTACTCGCAAATCACTAGCTAATTGATTTTGGTGGCAATTTAGTCCATACGGCTCACTGCGAGATAGATGTATCATACCATGGGGTTTCACTTTAATCTCATCAATCATGCACGTGGAACGGCCAATAAAAATTGAATTCATTGTCAATATTTGTTGAGACCAAAGTAGAGAGGAACCTAACTTAAGTGAACGAACAGCCTCAAAAACTGATATCAATCTATCATAAGATTCTAATTGTTTTGAAGCATTTATAGGAAAGAACTAAAGAAGAAAATGTAATATGCTTTATAACTATTGAAATCATACATGAGAAAGATAAAAAACGGTGAATGCTTGTTTCTCCACGTAGGGTGGGTCATTTCCCATTTCTTCGGGCAGACGCGATTGCTGGTGACAAGAAGAAAATTGTCTACCTCCGCAGAAATTTGGAAATATGTGAAAGGAATCACGCAACATTTTGCAGTGTATTTTAGACATCGCTGATTTGCTCAGCATGATTTCCGAGCTACGTCGGTTTACGGTTACGGTTAAATAGTTTACTCAGTCGGCAGTATCTCTAAGGCTCATTATTGAAATTGATAGCTTAAGCTATAAAGGAGATAAAGGGAAAATGAAGCGACACAGATACATTCCTCTTAAAAATCCTTACCAGGCTGACACAGTTAAATATTTCCGGGTTTATCGTTACTTCGAATAACTTTGAGTTAATTTTTTTTATCAGATTAGTCAGCAAGACTTAGTTGCAGAGCCATCTGGGGATGGGGAAAGTTTTCTGCATGCTGAACTAATATACTATTGTTTCTCTCGTTGTCACTTA